TGCAAATTGTGAAAGATTTAATCTTCAGCAACTTACTCAAAGCCTAAAAATAGAATGTCCTGTTTACAGCACAGTTGCTGTTTCAAAGCATTTGTTGTTGAACTATTATTGGCCGCCTGGTTGCAGCAGTTATAAATAGTCAGATTTGATGATTAATAATCAGAGTTTGAAGCACTTCATTAAAACAGTTTATATGACATGAAACGCTCTGTATCTAAACAACACCAACAATAACTTATCTTACCTGACTGGGTAACAGAGTTGTGGGAACTCTCTCCTCATCCAGCATGCGTTTGGACTCTTTCTCCCAGTACATATATTCCACCAGTGATCTGTGATCAAATGATCCAGTGGGTGGTTTGTCAGTTTGGTCTCTCTGCCTCATTCCCACCGGCACTCTCTCGTCAGGAGCAATGTCGTCCATCTCACTCTGGAGCTGTTTGAGCTCCTCTGTCGAAAGGCCTGCCAGAATCTCGTCCTCATCGATCTCTTCTTCTGACTGGGGCTCGCTGCAATCTGAAATAGAAAAAAATACACACTGTAAAATAATCAGTTAAAAAAGTTAAACTTTTAAACCAATGCAAGTCGGATATCGGGCGTAAATACCTTATGTATGCTGTTAAATAATTTCTGTGCCACTGGTATCACCCAAACAGGTTTCTCAATCACTCTCCATGCCTGATATTAGTCAGACAATCAAGGGAATACAAATATACAAACTTGGACACATTTTGTCTGAAAATTGTATTAGAGGGAATGCATTGACGTCACTTTCCCGCCAGATCAACCCCCCCTCAGCCTGACTGAGTGGCAAAAGATCTGCTGCGTGACTGGATTTAATAGGAGAAACTGTGAAAATGGAAAAAAAACGAACAATTTTGTCAATTTAAACTAAATATTGGACTCAATATAGTGTTCCTTACAACTGTCTAAAGATCCAGTGATCCATGGATATTGACATGCAGCCGGGAATCGTGTTCATGACATTTATGTTTGCCTGATTTCGACACGGGGAAATAAAAGCACCTAACGTTAAACATAAAGCAAATTTGCCTGTGAACACTTTATATAAATACAATATAGGTAGGTCTAAATCCGGGTGATCACTTGTATCAGTGTTATATATAGCCTATATATATCATCATATCGTCCAGGCCTAAAAGTTTATACGTTTTTGGGTCAGCGTTTATTAAAAAACATCCAATAATGCAGAATATGCAATGATAAATATTTAATTGATGAGTTGTTAATATAAATAACAATACAAAATATATGGGCATGGATTTACAGCTAAATTCAGCATATTGACACAAAATGATAACTGCAAATCCACCTTTCACTGAATAGAGTCCAGTTGTTTCTGTGAATTGCAGCGATCCATTTGCTCCTCTTTCTATAGCAGTCTGTAAAAATATACCTTCGATTTTTTTCGTCAAATCTAGTAGTATCAATCGCAAAGCTCTTTCCCACTTTATATGTGGGAAATGTGGCATTCACGCTGAAAACAAATACAGCCGCTCAGTCTTTTTGCCACTCACTGTGAGTAACTGCAGGCACTCCGGCCGACGGTGACGTCACGCGCATACCCTCTATAACTATCCCTTTAAGTGATATTACACATCTTGTACTGAATGTCAGGACAGCTAATATGTTCAGTACAACAACAACGAGCTTGATATTTCTTAAATATTTTTTAAAGCTCTTTACTTAAAACTACAGTACGATGCAACCCCCAATTTAGCACTGGTCTACTGGGAGTTAGTTAGAGATGGAGTAGGCTGAGTGTTAAACTCATTTTCTTTCAGCACCTCAGAGCTCTTTACAAAGATCACCTATTTTTTCTCAAGATTAATGGCAACAAACGGCTGAATATATTAGCAAGAAAATACCTCGGACTGTCGTCTCACGAGAAGCGTCTCTCTGCCTCATTCCCAGCGGCACTCTCTCGTCAGGAGCAATGTCGTCCATCTCACTCTGGAGCTGTTTGAGCTCCTCTGCCGAGAGGCCTGCCAGAATCTCGTCCTCATCGATCTCCTCTGTGTATGACTCGTGATCCGTGTGCTCAGACATGTCCACCTTAGTGTTTTCAAGAATTCAACTAAAGCCACTGGTTTCGAGCGCAGCGAGCGTCGTGGCAGGACTCAATGCCTTGTGCCGCATGCACGATCTAAAATAACCTCCATTCAACAGAGGGGAGGGTATTAATGGAACAAGTGGGGAGATACAGACATAGACTTTTTTCAGCAACTTGAGTCAGCTGGTCTGTCCCCTGAATTTCAACATGACAGACTAGAGAGAGAGAGTAGGGTGGAGAAAAACAGCAGCAGGTGGACATGCCAGTCAAGCGGCCCCGGTGGCTCCGACGCTAACTTCAGCTACCTACAAAACATTTTATTTAACTGGACTTACAGGATGACCAAAGAAAAATAGACATTGTAAACCTGGCTGTTTGAAAGGCCAGTAAAACCGGCCTGTTACATGTGTTAAAAAGCTGTGTACCATCAGCACTAGAAATATATAGTGTTTTGACCCCTAATCCTCCACAGTTCTTTGAGGACAGAAATAAAATCTGTCTGATGTTGGACACAACAGTCAGGCGGGGAAGCTTGGGCGGTCAGGAAAAGCAGGCTGATGTAGGATGGAAAGATTCCACAAACATTAGTGTCGTCTATAGCGTTGGATGAAAAATACTTGAGCAAGTGTAGTTTGTCAGAAATGTTTGGAAAGCTAACATTGCTGTGAAAGTGTGGCTTAAAAATAAGTGTCACCTTAAAATACAAATATTGCTTAATCACAATATCCACTCATTTTATAATATTACACCAGGAAAACAAAGCATCCCATTAAAGTGTTACATATTAATAATATTCTTGGTGATCACTTAAAGGTGCATTATGCAACATTTCAAGTTAAAAATAGCCGTTTTTCTAACCCATAAATGCTTAAACAAATGCCTGATGGGCTGAATGAGCCCTTCTCTGATCACTGCGATCGCCTCTATAATCCTGTACAGTGAAATAAATAAAAGGGATTCAGGCTCGAATTTGAGACTGGGCGTGATGTCATGCGCGTTCACGCTCACCTGGCTATGTATGGCAGGTTTGTGTATTCGCCGCCATTCTCCGTATCAGCAACTCGAGCGACACAACTTTAGTCAACTTTCCACAAAAGTAGAAGATGGATTCAAAGAGACCGGCTTGTAGTTCATTCCAAACCCCAACGCAAACTCCACGTAACTTTTGTCCAGTGCCAGGCGTCGGAATAAGACGAGAGTCAACATCGGGAAGCTTTCAACAAATGGAGAGATCTCTGGTCGGCTCTAGGGCTCAAAGGGGTCCTATAAAAAAGTAATAACTTATATTGTTCATGAACGTGTTTCCATAATAATACAATCAAAAGTGGATACAGTAAGCACATAAAACAGTTCAACATGGAGATCGATGGAAACGAAAACCGAAGTTTTCTACCACCCCCGTTTCCACCTCACACACACACATAAGTGTGTAATTTACTCGCCTTTAAATGCCTTTCCTTTCATATATTTTTAATGACTTGCAGATTTATTACTGTATTACCTCATTATGACTGTAACAAAAGATGCGCCGCACAGTGTGCGGCTGATGCTCCTTTGGTTATAAACAGCTCGTGCAAACGTGCGTGTATCCGTGTGATCCATGAGCGCGCACACCTCTGGATGCAGTTTCGCTTGTCGCCAGAGGGGGCGTAGTTCTGCAAAAACTCAGAGACTTTCGTTTTGCACTGTTAATAAATGGCATTCAGTATATTCTAAATCTATTAATACTAATATTTGTAACACAGATCAAGACCAACAAAGACTAATAATCTTTTATTTATGTTGAATAATCATCATACATTTTTTGAAGGTTAGCTATAAATATACTAAATTATTACATGATATCCTTGTTCTTCCTTACTTTTACTTAATCAATGAATATAGTAATAATCCTAGAAACAATCTTTTAATGGCATTGTTTTTTTCTGTCTCTTCATGCAACATATTCATATAATGATGTTTATGTGTATGAAAATATAGTATCTGCATTTGACCCTTGTATCAGTTTATTTTTTTTCTTCCATTAATAACGCTCAACGTGTTTTGAGCAATTACCATAATTCCCATGTAGAATGTTCTCCCACCTACACTAATTATACATCAATGTGTATTGTAGCTGTAATAAGTCTGCAGTGTTGAAAAGAGGCTTATGGTTAGGTTGTAGCAGGAAGATTTGGACAGCTAAACGGCGCCAGAAACACCATATTGTGCACCAATTTTGGCAGAATTTTTATAAAATGGTAAGCATGGGCAAAACCTATTTTTGCATGCATTTACAAACACTTGGAAAGAAATAACACACTTGTTTAAGCATTTAGTATTTAACACTCTATTGGTATTTAACCTGTAGAAGTTCCCTGATTGTGGATCTTTGTATAAAGTATAAAAGCTGAATTGAAATAATGTGATTCATTTTCTCTTTAAATTCCAACAGATTTTATTTCAATTAAAGGTAAAGAACACAATAAATTAAACAAACAGGAAAAAAGCTAAATGTCCAATCGTTTTGGAGGGATTTGGATAGAAACTGTGCCTGGCACTTGGACCAGTGACATTTGAGGTCTAAAGCTTGCACAAATACTCTTTGCCAAGCATACATTTCCCATAAATCCACATGACCGTGGCCATCCTTCTAAATTCAGATACAGGGCGATGGCATACAGTAGAGCACATTCATTAAAAACTTAAGCATGTTTCCAAGGGCAACAAAATTAAAGCTGCGATTCTTCTTTAAAAATGTACTTTCAAGTGGCCCTTCATAACACAACACCATAACCTGTGCTTTCTCGAAGTAGACGGGGAAAAAAAAAAAGGAATCAACCAAGCAAATCACTGTTTGATCAAAGCTTTGCACCTGTACACCAAATCGAAACAAAAGCACAAAATGTATACAAAGTATACCGGATTATTATTTTTTGGTATAATATTCATTACTTAGTGTATTAGTAATATAGAAGCGTTTGCTGCTGTATATACCTTTCTGTCAACACTTAAGTTAAGCTCTCAGAAGGATCATCCTTCAAAAATAAAATAAGATTAAGGAGAAAAAAAAAATCTCAAATATCACTCAGAAATGCATGGAACTGGCACAATATAATTACTTCTGAAAGCCACATGGCTTGCTGTCCATAGAAAGGCAAGATTGGAAAGTTTTACACTGTTTTTCAAGAAAGTAAAAGTAAAAATGAAACCGATAATAAAGCTTAGCCTCCAGCACTTAATAATAATAATAATAACAATAATTAGAATGATAATAACAATAAGAATTACAACAATATCAACAGTAACCATAATAATTAAAATTTGTTAATCATAACAAGTAAAGCATAATAAAGCGTTTTATTCCCATTGTCGAAGATTCTGGCACAGATTGTTAAAACAATGAATAAAAAGACATTCATGAACCCGGTCCCACACACACAAACAAACAAAGAAATGTCAAACAGAATGGTAAGGATGTGTAAAAAGACTAGACAATCTCTCTCTCTCTCACACACACAAACTAAATAAATAACCATTTAATCCCAATAAGTGAACAGCAATTTCACTACAGCACACATCAATCCCCAGGGTCTCATTACAAAGCGTCTTTGTGTTTCGTCATTTCAAACAGACTGACAACAAAAGAAAGCTGTGGTTCACTGATTAAGAATTCGATGCATATTTCTGAATATTCCAGAAGTTAGAGCAATAAATATTTAGTGGGAAGGCATGATATCTCCGTCACATCACATCCCTTTAAGATTTCGGAGGCAGACTCAGTACAGTACAATGGCAAGGCTGCGAGGAAACGTAAAAGAGGGACGAGAGGAGAGAGTCTGAAAGCGCTTTAGTAAAGGCTTTTGAATGATGTTTAACACCCCCCCCCCACACACACACACACCAAACCTACAAAATACACACATTTGCATACAGGTTTTGTTTTTTGTTTTTGTCTTATAAACACGCCACACTGGAAACCTTCTGTATAAAACCAAACCCATCCCTGACTGTGTCCACTATGGAATGCAAATATTATATTAAATCTACTCATATACTCTCTCTCTCCTCAAGTCTCTCTCTTTCGCCATTGCTGAAGACTCGATATCTCTCCCATAATAGAGAGAATAAAGATTGTTGAACTAGAAAGATTCGTTTCTGCATAGTGTTCACTCACCTTCCCCACAACCGTCGTTTGTCGAAAACACAAAATCAACATCTCACTTATATGCATCTATATACATGATTTTCCCCTTGATAGAAATGTTTAGGAATGAAAATTGCAACCAAATAAAACATTACAAGGCATACATAATAATTAGCAAACCTAGCACAAATGTTCATATATAACAGTCATAAGGACATACTGCGTATCCTTAAAGGTAGGTGCGGTCACCATATTCATCTATGTAAATCGGAATAAAAATGTAAACCACAGAAACAGGGAATCAATAGGAATCTAGTCAACGTTTAAAGTGCAAGTCTGTTGCAGTTTCTCTTCGCAGAAAACAACAATGTGCCAAAAAACTGGTGCAAGTCTTCTGACGTGAACTGCTGCGCAACAGATTCGCCAGCGCCCCCTGGTGGCAGCTGACTATATGGCAAGAGCACATCTTTCGTACACTTTTTCTGTCTGACCCATCGAAGCATGGTACTGATTTTGGACAATCTCCCAAGACAACACAATCTCTTTTGTCTGAAGAAATAGCAAACACATACACAGAAACCCGTTTGGTCCTCAAGGAAGAAAGGAGACAAACTGAAGCCTGGGTCAGAAGCACATGGAGTCGGGGCGAGAAGGCTCTCCATTGTCTCTCCTTTGGCGGCCCTGTGGGCATCTCAAGGATCTCTCTGTATCCGGCTCCTCCCACATACTGAGATCCGAGTGCCTCACCTTAAGCGTATCTCCTTACAGGAACAGGTGGTCGACCTTGGAATAGGATTCAGGCATTGGACTAGGAGATCCAACTGAAGTCTTTCTCGCTTCCCGCTCTGGCGTCTCCTTCCACAGCCGAGTCACTTTCCTCTTTGCCATCGTCTATTGCTCTGTCGTCTCGCTGCGACATCCCTGAGCCGGCTCGCCATTTCCCGTTCTCCTCCTCGCCTTCGCCTTCTCCCATCAGCTCGCCCTCCACCATCATCTCCTCTTCCCCGTCTCCGTCGGCGGTGTCATCAGGGAAACGGTGGTCCCCGGGATACAAGAGTTCCTCTTCTGGGGAGCCGTCCTCGCCGTTCTGGTCCAGCAGGGCAGCCATGCCTCGACCCGAGCAGTCCGCGCAGACGCCGTGGCGTCGAGAGCCGTGTTTGATGCCCACGCTGGCGGCCGACATGAAGACGCGACTGCATACTTTACACACGTACTTCTTGTCCTTACTGTGCACCTGAGAAAGAGTGACAACGCAATGTTGAGAGACAGCAATTCATGTCTTTTACAAAAAAAGTACTTTGGCAAAACCATTATAGCACCAAATAAATCTATAAGATACAAGAGGTTTACAGTGACCCTGTTTATGCCTGGTTCCCCCAAAAATGAAAATTCTGTCATCATTACTCACCCGTCATGTCGTTCCCAACCCGTAAGACTTTCGTTCGTCTTCGAAATAAAAATGAAAATCTTTTTTAAGAAATCGGAGAGCTTTCTGTCCCTCGATTGACAGCTACGCAACTACCACTTTGATGCTTCAAAAAGTTCATTAAAAGATCGTAAAACTAATCCATATGAATTGAGCGGTTTAGTTCAATTCAATCTGTTCATCATATAAAGCGATCGAGTCTCTTCAGATATTTGAACCAAACCACTCAAGTCATATTAAATATCTTCATTTGTGTTCTGAAGATGAGCAAAAGTCTTACGCAGGGTTCCCCAAACTTGGTCCTGGAGGGCCACTGTCCCTGCAGAGTTTAGTTTCAACCCTGATCAAACACACCTACCTGTGAGTTTCTACTGATCCTGAAGACGTTGATTAGCTTGCTCGGGTGTGTTTGATCAGGGTTGGAGCTAAACTCTGCAGGGACAGTGGCCCTCCAGGACTGAGTTTGGGGAACCCTGGTCTTACCAAGATAATGCAAGAATTTTCATTTTTGGGTGAACTATCCCTTTAAGATGTTTCTCAGGTGATCTGTGGCTGGTTGCAAACAGGTTAAGCCGCATTTCCACCGCAGGACCTTTCCCCAGGAACTAGGAACTTTGGGGTGGTACTCGGTGTGTTTACACCACAGGAACCAGGGTCTAAATGAAGTTCCGGGTAAAAATTTCGCCCCCAGAAAGTCCCTGCTGGCGAGGTGGTACTTTTTCAGAGTTCAGGAACTTTCGGGATGGGACTTTTGTGCTAAACTTGCTGATTGGTTCTTACCACGCTATTCTTTCTGCCCGATAGCGCACGTTCGTCCCATCCATCTCATGGTCAATAGCCACTTTCCGACCGGAGGGACTTTTGCAGTTCCTAGAACCTAACGTTCCTATAACCCTTTTTTTCTCGTGTTCCGACCGGACTAAATTGGGGATTTTTTTAGTTCCTCAGACCGTAGTTCCTATAACTCTTTCAGTGCCAAGTCTAGAGCGAGGACTTTTTTAGTTCCCTTTCCCTAGGTCTACGTTGATTGGTTCAACTTATAAGTCACGCCCACTGTCAACACGGAACCACGGAACTTGTAGCGCGCATAGACAGTAAGGTAGCGCGCTGTCTGCCATACGCTGTGTGTTTTTGCAAAACATTGCAACGAGGATTAAGACAAACATAACGCATTCAACCAGCTAATTGCTAATGCTAGCTAAACTTACCCATCGTTTTGTTTGCCTCCTGCGCTCTGCTCTTTTATCTTCTTCCATCATATTACTTAATATCATATTACGCTGGAGCCTTCGTCTTCTGTGTTTCTCTTTAACTTACAGAACTCAAGCATGATCTTTAAACGCCGCCGTTCGTTCTCCGTTAGTCCCGGCAAGGCAGAACAGGAACATTGCAATAATAGCCTCCTCCATGCTGGTTTGTTGTTGTTGTATGTGGCCGCGCTACGTCTAGTGATAAAGACCGTTGCCGTGCTTGCGTTACCCCTCCTACCAGTTCCTATGGCCACTTGGCCAGTGCGAACGCAAGCAGCAAAACCGAGTTTGGGGGAGAGTAGTTCTTAGAATTGTTTAGAAGTGGACAGTTCCTATAACTAAGTTCCAGTAACTACTTGGTCGGAAAGCGGCTATTGTCCGCTGATAACAAACCGCTACTTTTATATCTAGCATTACGAGCTTTCTGAATACGCTTTGGGTGCTCGTCTCTTTTTCTGCCGTTTTTTTAATTACCTCGTTAGTAAATCAATCGCACACAAAAGCAGCAAAACTTGAATCTCCTCCATACAAAACTCAAAACAAACACGCAGACTGGGAGGAGCAGTCGCACGTAGTTCAACATCACCAGACTAATTTACTGTACATAATCTTCCCGGTACTTTAGTCTGCGGTAAGCAACTGGTCTGGGGCAATAAAAAGTTCCTGGGACAAATAGTTCCTGGTAATTGCGGTGGAAACGCGGCTTTAGTCATCTAATTTTATCTTCAGCAATAGTCACGACTCACAGTTTTAAGTCTTAAGGTCCAATTTGAATTCGGAAAGGTTGCTGTATGCAACATTTTGGATGCCAACTGCGTAAAACACCAAGGAAGAAGAATCTGAAAAGTATTACTTGGCTAACTGCTAGTTGCTCAGACTAGTTCCTAATGTCATTAACCAAACAGTTGTTGGACTACATTGACTTCCATAATATTTTTCCCCCTACTATGGAAGTCAATGGGGTCCAACAACTGTTTGGTTATTAACATTCTTCAAAATTTCTTCCTTTGTGTACAGCAGAAGAAATACATTCATACAGGGTTGAAACAATTTGAGGGTGAGTATATGATGACACAATTTTCATTTTGAAGTGAACTATCCCTTTAAAGGAGAACTCCGGCGCAAAATGAACCTTTGGCTTAATTACACATTGGTACAAAGTCAACCGTTCTCTGAGATTTGTTTTCATGAAAATCGAATGTAAAGAGTTTTATCTCTAAAAACTGTTTAGCTTATAATGCTAGTATATCGGGCATAGAGTAATGGAAATAAAAATCGCTAGTTAATACCACTAACAAGGCTCAAAATAGCCCCACACTAACACAGTAACATAATGAGGGTCCCTACATGCAAAACGAAGCATTGAGAACTTTGTAAGTGTACAGATCGTTTAATAAGAAGATACTTTATAAAGACAGTTCGCTTCGCGTATACAGGCAGGAGCCATTTTGGAAAACAGTCACGCCAAGTCAAACCACGAACGTCGTGCTGAGTGATCTGAACTGTATGAAGTTCAGCGAACTTCTGAACAGTATGACCGGCGTTCGGGGATCGACTTATCGAGTCTGTTTTCCAAAGATAGTCAAGTTAATAGTTAAAAAGATAGATAGTTAATAGTCAAAATTGCATGTGACCACACTGGATTTATACAACCACAACAGTTAATCATGCACAGCCAAAGTTCAGTTTATACAGGTACTCCGGTTAACAAGCAAGTTAATGTGATTTTTGCTCAACATGACATGCCAAAGCAACAGCAATATAAAACACCCCAGTGCTCAATAAATAGTTTGATATATTAAGAATAATTATTTCACCAAATAATATAGTTTCCCCAACCTTTTTTGTCCTTAATTGTACCCCACAGCTACTTACTTGAACTTAATCAACAGAAACCAGAAATTTGTTTCTCTTTTACCTTAATTTACACTGTATATAATGGATACCTTAATTTACAATTTAGCATAATCAGTAATATATTATTAAAGCTACACCATGTACCTGGTTGTATTTTGGCTTTGCTCATCTGTGTGGATGAATGTAGTTTGAGGCTAAGGTGTACACATATAGAGGACATCAGAACCAGTGGACAAATTCATTATTTAGTATTTTGACCATTTTTGCAAGATCCATGGTCAATTCTTTTAGTTTGTTCTGACAACAAATGTTCAGCTTTACACTGCCCAGAGCCAGAGTCACTATTCTCTGAGGACGGACATGACGTGACATGCATGGTTGAATGATGGGTTCTTACCCCAAATGCATACAAATCATTCTTACATTACTTCTGTACTAAAAACAATCAATACTGTGGGTGAAAGCAGTATTCAGGCTCACCAAGCAGCTTCCTCCAATATGTTATTTTAAACTGCATTTGGTTTGATATTGTTTTGAGATATATTGTTGTATTTTATTTTTTTGAAAGGTTCACAAAACTTTGCCAGTAACCTCAAGAACAAGCTTCAGTACGTCTTAGGTATAACCCTGGTTGGGAATCACTGATATACTGCAGTTAATTAGGCTATTTACAGTTGCCTAGCAACGTACCACATTCATGTAGAATGACCGTTTTATCCACTTTATAATGGCTTTGAACCACTGAACTATATAAATGACTGGATTGCTCATGACGTCATACAAAGTGAAGCCACCGCGCCGCCATGTTGGTTTTCCCTAGTATTCCCTTTCATTCTATTGAATTAATAGGAACCTTCCAATTTTAATGAGTAAACATTACCTAACAAGTCAGTGTTTTTTTTTACTAACATGACATAACACTTTCATAATAATGACATGACATATGTTTTATGCATGTTTGACAACTGTCATTAAGTGTCATTCGCTCAGTGATGACATTTTTAATGCAAATATGACATTGTTTGAGATGTCTTTGTTATGACACCTTGACATAAACCAATAAATCATAACCTGTCAGTGTCTTTGTCATGACAACTTGACATTACTAAGACAAAACAACCTGTCATAAACATAATATAGCAGATTAATTATCAAACTTAAGAAAGCACCTAGCTTTATGGGTTAACATTACATTAAACTGTCAGGTGGTTGGTTTTGACATTGGCTGTCATGAAGCCATTATAACTTTTTAATGACAAATTCAATTAGTACCACTGTAGTTGAGGTCACGAGAAATATTCATGACACAGTTATAATGCCTTATGACAGCCAATGTCAAAGCCAACCACATGACAGTTTAACTTCATTTAATGTCAAGGTGTCATAACAAAGACATCTTAAACAATGTCATATTTGCATTAAAAATGTCATTATTGAGTGAAAGACACTTAATGACAGTTGTCATGCATAAACCCTACTTCATATTCAAGACATATGTCATGGTTTGTCATATGTTATGTAGGTGTCATGTCAGTCTTATGCACACTCCTTCAAGTAAAGTGTTATTGCGTTTTTATATCTGAAGTCTCCTTGTACAAGTCAGTATTATTCCAGTTGCGAATGTCAGAACAGCTGACGGATGAGACACCCAAGCATATATCTTAATGTCACAATGATTCTTCTAAAATCTGAATACAAATATAATCAAAAATAAGACTTATACATGTGCAAACCGTCATGCTAGTAAAAAGCTGTAGAGTTTGAGCTGACCTGTGGCTTTTTAGCGGTTTCAAAGATCTCCACGAGTCTGAAGTGGATGTTGGTCAACAAAAAGACATCAGGGAGTAAAATACATGCTTCACAACTTATTCAGAGAAATTACGCTGACCGTGTATGGATTTAAAGACGTGCATGCTAAACTTTTAAAAATAATATAGTGCAATTTAGTAACGGGATTGTATGTATTATAATATTTACTGTATATTATTTTCAGTATAATCCCAGATATACATTCATGCTCAATATTTCCTGCTAATAAAAATGTAGTTCCCTGTGTCGGCAGTGTGCAGTAGACTGTAAAAAAATATTTTTAAGATTTGTTATCACAACATATTTTCTTTTGTCAAATCAACTTTATAATAATTTATTTAGTTGAGTTGACTTATTATTTTGAGTTTCTGATTATTAAATTAATCTCCTTCATTGTATTAACTCACTTTTTCCAGTTCAATTAAACCAACAATATTTTTTACAGTGTAGTAATCGCAACATTTTTTCTTTTGTCAAATCAACTTAAATAATTTATTTAGTTCAGATAACATATACTTTTGAGTTTCTGATGATTAAATCAATCTCCTTCATTGTATTAACTCACTTTTTCCAGTTCAATGAACTTAAAATTTTAAGGCAACCAGGTTACTTTTTTAAGTTAAACCATCAATATTTGTTTTACAGCACACCCATCTTAATGATTTCTATATATTGCTTATTCTACCCTGAACAGACCATAAACATTACAGATAACGTTCGAAGTCTCAATTAATGTACATATATGGCAAGCCGTTTTAACTTTTATTCATTTCCAGGGTATGAAATCTTGATATCAACAATTCAATTGCTACTAGTAAAATTTTTCATTTTTGATATCAACATTATTTCAGATATCTAAAATAGCTTTCTTACTAGTAACAATCACATTCATAATATCAAAAATGAACATTGCTGTCAAGAATAGACATTTCAACTATTGATAATTTAATTATTGATATCAGGAATTCACATTTTTACTAGTAACAATGTAATTTTTGATTGAATTGTTGATATCAACAATTACATTTTTTGATATCAAGAATTCAATTCTTGATATCAAATTATTTAATTGTTGATATCAAGAATTTATATCTTGGAAATGAATAAAAGTTAAAACGGCTTGCCATATTACATACCTTACAAAGAATCGGGTGATTTAGCTCATTGTTTTAAGATAAAGAGAATCGTAAGATGGCGCTCGAACACTTCCTGTGGGAATGAGCCATCCAGTCATTTATGTAGATCAGTACTTTGAACACATTTACATTGATGCCTTTATCCAAAGCGGCTTACAATGCATTCAAAGGAATCAAACTCGAGGCCTTGACATTGCTAACGCCGCGCTCTTCATTCACTTTATTAGCGTTACATGTACACATGTACTGTGCTAACATGTCTACAAAATCATCTCGAACAGCAGCAGACTGCGTATCCACTGTCATTGCTCGCCTCACAGGAGAAAAGAAGCGTTTCAGCCAAGTACACTCTCTTACGCAGACCTTTTGAATTTTTCACCACATTTTAAGGAAGCGTTGACAACATGCGGTGGTGTAGCATATCGGTGCGATCCATCATGCTGCGGATCGTGAATTAAGCAAGGTTTAGGTGTTAAACGTTTCAGCGCTAAGCAGAAGCAGCGCTGTCTGTTATCATGTCACACTGTTACAGGCCCTTTGATAGGCTCAAAACCAGAGCTAATTTCTGTGGCACGTCGCTTAGCCACACAGAGACCAAGAACGTGCCAAAACATGTTTATGAGTGCCTCCCATGAGATGATACAGTAAATGCAGGCTTTAAGAAAGAGAAAAGGAGAGGAGGTGTTAAAAGACTCCTGGCAATAAGGGCAGAGAAAAACTGAGATAAGAAGGGGTTTATGGGATATGGCAGAGTCTTGTATTTAATAGGGGCTCATGGGGACTCGAATGTCTCCCACACAAACATCTTCACAAAAAGCACATATGCTGTTTAGTCTTTCAAAGAAATATGTGCTTACAATTTTTTAATATTTAATAAAGAGCATTTTATTTTGAGGTGTATTTACATCCAGATTGCTTCCTCAGTGTTATCTGAATCAGTCTGCAATGCCATACGCTTGCTCACTGCCGCCCCCTGTTGGTACTGCACTCACCAGCGTGTGGCGCTTCATGTGCTCCCTCCGCGTGAACTTCTTCCCGCAGATCTCACAGGGATACGGCCTCTCGCCCGTGTGCGAGCGCATGTGCCTCTTCAGGATGCACTGGTGCATGGCGGAAAAACTGCAGTACGGGCACTTAAACTTCTTCCTGATCACTGTGAAGTCGTTTACTGTGGATAGAGATGAAGAGATGTGAGGGGAGCTGATCAGAGTATGAACACATGCAGGTTAAGCCACTGGAAGTATGAGAGTTAATATGTGAGAAGTGTTAAAGCCCTGCACACGGCATTAATGCCAAACCTACTTACCAAAGCACTGGGCTAATCTCTCTCTCTCTCTCTCTCTCTCTCTCTCTCTCTCTCTATTGGATAGAACGACTTTAATTAACAGCCGCCATTGCTGCATTAACATTATGAGTTGATTCGTGTTAACCCTAATTATTTTAATGGGTGGTGTTTGGGCTACTTCTCATTTAAGCATTTTGTAAAGCCATAAACGACGAAAGATAATGAATCATAATAAGCCAACTATGTTGAGGTCATGAAAAGTAAGGACACATATTTTGCTTTAAAAAGCCAATTTTTTTGTACCATTTAAGTTTTTCAATTTCCACCACTGAATAAAAATAAAAAAGTTGTTTTTTTTCTCTCAGAATTGTGTGATATAAAGAGTAAAAGTCACAAATAATATTTTTACTTAGTGGCGGAAACAAGCTTCCATATATAGCATTGTAACATCATTTTTATGATAATTAAACATTTATAAACCCCAAATGTTACATTTGTGTGATGCTGAAATTTGGCAGTTTGTTAAACATTATTCAATACATTAGGTATCATAAACTAACACTAAACAAAATCTAGGCTAATTTGTAAATATTCTATTGTTCATCAATTTATGTTAATTTATAATACATTAAATGTTCATTTATAAAATTTAAAATGTTAAAAATGCATCTATGTAGCAATTAACTAAAGTGTTTAAAAAAGAAAGAAAGTTGCCAGCCATCGCCAGTGTTTTTGACCACTTTCACCAAAAAGTGCATTCCTTTTGTATCAACACTTGAATGTGGACGAGTTTCATAAAAAAATTGAGCGAAAAGCTGAGAAAATCACGTTTGTGTCAAACACTGCATCCAGATCAGATTCAGAACGATGATAAAAACACAGATGGAGGACATCAACACCCCTGAAGCTTCACAGTCGACATTTCATTCAGTAACATTAGGCAGTTTTGATTTATATGCTGTTTAATGTTGATAATTGCGTTATTTTACATATGCATATGATTACATAATATGACATGGCTTGTTTCTGCGTCTTCTTCACCTGTGTTCAGGAGATTCAGAAGATAGCGCATTGCGCCCCCTAATGTATATAGCCAGAAAATGTAGTCAGTGGCGGGGAAAGAGTTAACATTAACCTAGATTAAAAAGTATTATTCACCATTCAACGTTATTTCACTTCATTAACTATTATTAAAAAATGTAACCATATTCTAAAGTACCAACAATTCATAATTGTAATGCCAAAAATTAAAGGTACAATATGTAGGATTTTTGCAGTAAAATATCCAAAAACCACTCGGCCAATGTTATATATTTTGTTTAGTTGATTACTTACAATATCCCAAATGTTTCCAACTATTTGTAAATCGTGAGAAAATTGTGATTTTTAACCAAGGAAACAGGGCGTGTCAGCAGGGGTGAGGAGTCGCCAGTCAATGACGTCATATCCGCGTTACCCCCGGTTTCCACCAAGTTTGAACTCGCACTGCAATAGTAACCATGGCGACAGACATGGACAACTGTGTCGGTTATGCCCGTTATGCGAGCTCAACAGCGTGAGCGTCCCTAGCAGGGTTTTGTTCAAACATTATAGACCATGGCAAGCAGACTTTGAGACAAAAAGAGGACTAAAACGAAGATCAACATCTTTCGAGATGTCAAGAGCTCCACGTCTGCGACTAACTTCGACTTGACAGAGACGCGAGTGTTGCATGTTACTTGAGCAAACAGGTGAGCAAATCAAATGTATATAAAACTAATCAATGTTATAGTTCAACATGATGAAAAGTTAGAATACGATCTGTATGTTATTCTCTATTGTTAATCTTGCTTAGTCTTATACAGCCAACAAACAACCTAACTAACTAACATTCAATACACTCAAATGCAGTTTAGTGTGCTGGCTTTCGCGCAGCACTCGCAAGGTCTCGTTCTCTCCCTCTCTGCCATGCACGCGCCGCAGTATGTTCTTTCTCGCTCTAGATTCTGGGAGATTTTAACTAATTTGCGGGCATCAGGGAGACGCTATCAATATGCGGGAGACTCCCAGATCTTCCCGGATGTCTGTATGGGAAACCCTGATGATAGCCTAACAGCTTGGATAACGTGCACAATTGTGTTACGATTCAAAAACTTTATTGTTCATTAGACGAAGCAAAAGCATTTCATTTTCAAATGCGTATGAGCCGCGAGAAAGATTGCATATACATATTTTTTTTTTAAATATATATAAAAGCAATATTCGAATAGTAACTTCAGCATTCGAATAGTATTGTTTTTTTAAATATTCAAATTATATTCGAATTTCGGAATTCGTTCCAACAGCCCTAGTATACGTATAGCAATCGCGCCCTGCTTCATACTACAGTCGTGTTAAAAACATCAATGTATTCACACACCCATCAGCTTGACGACAAGATCCATAATTCCGCTTAATGTCATTAATATAGAGGTTAGTGACCCCTGGTGGCCAAACAATCTTGCATATTGTACCTTTAAGTTAAGTTCAAATAATATATACAGTATATAAACAGTACTGTGCAAGAGTCTTAGGCACGTTAGTATTTTCACAAAAAAAAAATGGTTTAAGCGAGTTATTTATATCTTTCGCTGTAGTGTGTCAGTGAGAAGAAATATCAGTTTACATTATCATACATTACTTTTGCTATTAATTGTAATAATCCAGTGAGATTTACAGCCAATATGATCAGATCTCACCATCAGAGTCTGTCTGTGATTACATGAAGATACTGAAAAACGGAGACGGACTAAATCCAGAAGGCAACATCTCCAAGACTCTTGAAGAAACCTAAAATACTAACGTGCCTAAGACTTTTGCACAGCACTTTACCTGTACTTTAATTTATATATTTTATGGTAGCACTTTATTTTATAATCTTGTTCCCCATGTATATATTATAGTAACTACAAGAAGTGGATAAAAACTAGGTTCTAACCCTGAACCCCAAAACCTAACCTTGACCCATGAAGTTACCGTAAATTACCGTAAGTGCACATACTGTAAAACAAAGTGCAACCTATTTTATATAATAGTATTCAGTGCAAAAAAAAGTACATTATGGTCAGTGTTCATCATATTATTATGATTAATGGCACTTTCACATCAGTTCCTGTACATTCTTTCCAATCCTTTCACTCCTTCCATCATCTAGTTGCAGAACCTGAAGATAGCCGATGCTCTTCTATCACTTACAAACTGCAGGAGAGATACTCTCCCTAACTCACCTGCCCTTAGCTACCAAAAGCAGCCCCAAAAGACAGTTTCCTTAGCAACCACAGCCCTGAAACAATTTTACTGCTCAAATTCAACAAAGAAAGATGAAAAACCCACAACGCAGCATAGCATAGCATCCCATTGTTTGCTGAACAATTGATGCACAAATTATCAACCCAAACTCACAAAACCAAACATCAATTCCACATGTTCTTGTGCTAATTCTTCCATCTTCTGTTAGCAAAAGATTCAGACAAAGGCGAGCATGCTTCATACTGCGATGACTGTAATCTCATCAGACAGTGATCTAGACTGGTGCAGCTAATAAGCCAATGGGCAACATTTAGGTAGGAACGGACCCGAAGCCCAGGTTTACCTATAATAATGTCTCAGTTGAGCATATTTACTACTACAGAATGTAGCTGCCCTGGTACTTTGACACTTTTTTTGACAATCTTCCACAAGCTGGAATTTGAGGTAGTAAATAAACCCCATGGGATCCTCCGAACAAAACTGTAGCACTACAATTCCAGTGTGTATAGCGTGTGCTCTTTTTTTTCTTTGATAATAAAATAACCACACAGTTTTCATGATGCTTTACAGTACAATTTATTGTCTACAAACAATTACTCAAACAAATTATTCCAGAATACATCATTTACAGAAATCTGTGCTTAAGTTCATTTCGGTAATGAAAATAGTGCAATTCAAAAGAGCTGTGACTGAGATTTCTGATGCGTTTTCAACACCCACTGTTCAATCCTCTTGAAACAATATATTAGTCCTTTCATTTCCTGAGGAGAAAGTGCTAAGACCTTGAAAACTTGCAGTGCAAATCTCTCTCTCTTTGCATAGTTGATGAACAGTGATTTCTTTCACAAATCACCCCGCATTCATCACAGTAGAGTGGCAAATTAAAATCCCATTTTCAAATATTTGTCGAATTAAAAAAAAGAAAAATTCACAAAACGGTGGGAAAACACAATATTCATTGTTGCGCTTTAATGTTTTCATAGCCTATCCACTTGATGTGACGCACTGCAGAAATAGAGAAGCTCAATGCGGATTAGATTTTGGTCATGTTAAAACCGTTCACACACGGAGAACGCATTTTCTGCGCTGCTTCTCCATTGGTTTCTGTTCAAACATGCACTAGACAGACATCTTTGACCGCACAAGAAAGCAGCATGTTTAGAAACTCATGTAAAAAAAGAAGTGCAACATGTCTCGAGACCCATTCCATCTCATGTTTTTAAACACAAAAGTGCTCTGTGTGATCGACACTTCAGCCTTTTTGTATTAAACTATGCATAAATACATGGCATTGTTTTGTTCATAATTGTTCATGCAACTTACAAAATTAGATTTGATTTATAAATGTTAGTTTTTATGCACTTTTTTTACACGGTCATATTATTTAATTGGTTTGAATAAACAATTAATATTTTGCTCATTGGGCTCTCTTGTTTATGGAAGATTGTTTCCGCCATAGAATGAAATGACTTTGTTTCTCAGAATTGCGAGATACAAAGTCATAATTGCATAATATAATGTCGCATGTTATAAAGTCAGAGTTGCGTGTTATAAAGTCGCAATTGTGAGAAAAAAAGTCAGAATTGTGAGATAAAAAGTCGCACTTCTGTCTTTTT